TTTTCACGGTCCCTTCTGTAGAATGTGAAGTTAGGGACGAAAATTTTGATTTTTTCGGACAGGTGAGTTTCGGTGATGCAAGCAACACCGATTGACTTATCCTCAAGGAAGTGCTCGAATTCAGACAATTTACCTCTAATGCTTTGCGTATTCCAGGTAACTATGCGAAGATTGTCTGGATGGGCGGTGTTACACATTGGTGGTTTGTTGTAAGGTGGCAATGACTATGACTTGAAGTTTTGTTCTAAACTTTAGATTGCAAATACAACTGGAGGAGTGCTTGAGTTGCGTTTTTGGGTGGGGGGAGGGAGAGCAGTTCTTACTGCCAAGGTAGTAGCTGGAGGATGGGGATAGTTCTTGTGCCTTGTGAAGCAACAGGAGTTCTTAAGGAAGAAAGGGAGGTCTTTTTGGGAACCTTGGGACAGCCGCGCGGTGGTTCCCCTTGCAGTTGGCACAAGTGGAAGTGGCGTCCTTCTTGTCCTTGGATTTGCACTCGGCGGTTATGTGGTTACGGCCGCAGAAAGCGCAGAACCAGGCTGCGTGGCAGTAGTTGGCTATATGGAAGAATTTCATACAGCGGCGGCATTGGGATGTCTTCGCAGACACAACGGATAACGACATGAAGGTCACTGCTTTGTTGAAAATTGGACTTTGGATTCGTCCAGGAAAGAGGATAGTCGACGAAAATCGTTAATGAAGCTGAAGTATACTCGAATTAAGTCTTGGGTATTTATTGACCTACGGGCGGTAATGCCGTGACTGTTTATGGTACGAAGAATTTTCGGTCAAAGGGACTTTTGACGTATGACGATTGGGGGGAGGGGAGATTTTTGACTTAGATTGGATGGCTCGATTCGTCGTCAGAGGAGGAGAATGATTCGGACGACGACAGGAAAGGTTGCTTGTTGGCGCGTTTGCTGGCTTTGACGAGGCCGTCGTTCTCTCGTTGGTCCGTATGCGGGAGATGGTTTACGGAGCTGTCGGAAATTGCCTTGGATAAGTTGGGGCCTAGCGTTGGGTCGGATTGAGAGGAATTGGCGTAGTTTTCTTTAGGACTGGGTACCATACTTTATTCAAACGAAGCCCTTCTTTTTTTCTGCTAAAAGTAATCGGATGTTTATAGGTTTCAATAGCTTCTCTATGCAAGCTAGCGTAATATTGCGAAGTTGTAGATAAAACCCTAGTTCGGTCGTAGTTAATAACATGGTTCGGGTCCCCTATTGGATGCTCAGCTAGGGCCGATTTCTCAGGTTGTAAAAATCGACAGCAGCGTTCATGTTCGGGTATCCTTGTTTTGATGCTGCGCTTTGTGGTACCAATGTAGACTCCTCCGCAGGAACAATAGATTCTATAAACACCGACGGATGTTAAAGGGTCTCTAGGATCTTCAGCTGATCTTATTAAGGTTTGTAGCTGTTGTGTGAGTTTGAAGAAGGTTCTGATGTTATGATTCTTCAATTACTTCCCGATGCGATCTGTGACCGTTTTAATATATGGTACGGAGGCGATACCTGCGGGCGGTGGTTGAAATGTTCCCGGTGCAGTTCTCCTGGGAGGAAGGGCATGTTTCATCTCCTGTGACGTAGAGCCATTGGATTAAAGGGTTTGATCTAGATGGCGGAATTCTTGATCTAAAAGGGAAGCTTCACAAATACGATTAACTCAATGAGTAAGGGTTTTCAACATGGCCCGCTTCTGCGCTGGGTTATGATTGGAGTCTTTATTGGGATAACGATCGGTGTATGTAGGCTTCCGATGCACAGTGAGGCCCAGGGATCCATCGGATTTTTTGTTGACAAATACGTCTAGAAAGGCCAGTTTTCCGTTGTTTTCTTTCTCCATAGTGAACTAAATACGGGGGTGAATGACATTGATGTGCAGTAAAAATCTGGCAAGGGCTTTTTCTCCATGACTCCGGACAACGAAGGTGTCATCTACATAACGAAATCAACATTTAGGTTTTGAGAACTGCAGAGTTAAACGTTTCTTGTTCGAAATGCTCCATGTAGAAATTGGCGATCACTGGACTAAGAGGACTCGCCATAGCTACCCCGTCTACCTGTTCGCAAAAGGTGTTATTCCACTGGAAGTATGTAGTCGTGAGCACGAGGCGAAAGAGAGTAGAGATGTCTTCAGGGAAGATCTTCTGTATGTATTCAAGGGTCTTCTTGACCAGAACCATACTGAAGAGGGACACTACGTCAAAACTCACGAGCATGTTGCCGGGTTGCAGATTCAATGTTTCCAATCTCTCGATGATGTGGGTGGAGACCTTAACGAATGAGTCGCTCATGCTTACATGCGGCTGTAAACGTTTGGTGAGATATTTCGCGAGAGCATAGGTGGGAGATCCGATGGCGCTGACAATACGATGTCTGGTTTATGGATTTTTGGCAGGCCGTAGAGCCTAGGTGGTAGAGCTTCCGATATTAACAGACGTATCTTCTGCTGGCAGTGACGCATCTTTAATGAGGCTCCTGGTTTTTGCGAGGATTTTGGCAGTAGGATCGCTTTTGAGAATCGGATCTCCCACAGCCGCATGTAGGAATGAGCGACTCATTCGTTTAGGACTCCATCCACTTCATCGAGAGATTGGAGATATTGAATCTACAACCCGGTGACATGTTCGTGAGTTTTGACGTAGTGTCTCTCGTCACTATGGTTCCGGGTGGAATAACACCTTTTACGAACAGGTAGACGGGGTAGCTATGAGGAGTCCTCTTAATCCAGTGATCGCCTTTGCCAGTTTTTTACTACACGTCAAAAACATTCACCCCCGTATTCAGTTCACTATGGAGAAAGAAAACAACGGGAAACTGGCCTTTCTAGACGTACTTGTCAACAAAAAATCCGATGGACCCCTGGGTCACACTGTGTATCGCAAGCCTACACACACCGATCGTTACCTCAATAAAGACTCCAATCATCACCCAGCGCAGAAGCGAGCCATGTTGAAAACCGTTATTCATCGAGCTATTTGTGAAGATTCTCTTTTAGATCAAGAACTCCACCATCTAGATCAAACCCTTTAATCCAATGGCTCTACGTCACAGGAGATCAAACGTGCCCTTCATCCCAGCAGAACTGCACCGGAGACACCTCAACCACCGCACGCAGGTGTCGGCTCCGCACCATATATTAAAACGGTCACGGATCGCATCGGGAAGTTATTGAAGCGTCTTAACATCAGAACCTGCTTCAAACCATAAAACAGGAGAAGAAAGAAGGAGATAATTTTATTTTCTCAATTCTTAATAAATCTTAGAAAAATTCTGCTCTTATCTATTTTAAAAGATTACTAATTGAAGCCCCTCATACTCTTAGTCATGAAAGAAAGTCTACGAATTCCAGATTAGATTTTGTGAACAAATTGGTAGCAAACAACTATTACAATATTTAAAATTCTTATAATTGTGTAGCAAAATTGTTGAAGCTTTCTAGGAAATAATTTTACGAGGGTACGATGTTTATCTTTAGCTTTGGAAATTTATACAACAGCTACCAAATGCAAAATTGTCTTTCTGTAAAGTATAAAATAGATGGGTTTGTTTGGTAGGTAATGCCATAAACCTACCTTCTGGAAATTTTGACCGTACTATCATGAAATGATCTGTATTACAAAGATACCATATTGAGGAAAGATTTAGAACAATTTAACAGTTTCCATGTTACACAATAGTAGAAATATGTAAATGTAGCTAGTAACAAAAATGCGTAGTTATGAAACAGGTTACGTTTTCTCAAGAAACTAGTTACGTTCCGTTACACCTGAAACATGTTAGGACCCATCACTATTGTGTTTTATAAAATTAATGGTTTTATCTTCTTAGCGGCAACATAGTTCGAGCGTAAATGCCCATGAACCTTAACCGTAGGAAGTCATTACCGGTTTCTCGTAATGTCTGTACTACATTTAATACGAAGTCTTCATTGGGGATGTCAATGACTACAATTCGATCGTATTGACAGTGGTACGCTAACTTACTACCAATAACATTGATTGACTAAATACATCAATGTTAGGTTAAGGTTAACTAAATACATCAAGGTTACAATGTTAAAAGAACAAGTACCAACTATAGGCTGACTGTAACATACACAAGTTATATCGCACTTAATCTAATGTAACAACTAGCAAACAATATATGAGCAAACAAAATGCGAAACAGATACAGTAGTGATGCTACCAATTGCTACCTGATTGAATTTAGAGATGCACTGTCGCACTTTTCCGCGTGATTTACCAGGGTTGAACTAGCCCCTATCTGATTTTTCTAGTCTAAGACACCTATACAAATAAATAACTATTTTCTTTTATGTACAGCAAGGTTGAGAAATTTATATGGAAAATAAAAAACTGTTCTAAAATTTGCTGATCGTATTTTACTTCAAAGATTTATAATTCCTTCAATTCACTATATTAGAAGGAATATTTCAACTTTTGAACACAATTTGTCGAGAAATATAACCACATTGGAAACTTTTTGAAGGATTAGAATAAGTTCGTTTTAAAAAAGAACAGATCAAAAATAAATAATAATATATACAAAAGTAGAAGTTTTGCTTTTTTGTTTTTAATTTTTAAGTCTGTTGTTTGGTTTTGGTTGACTACAAGTAAATACACATACCTACCTAAAACAAGTACCCATTTTTATATTTATCTCAATAAATAATTGATTACTGTAATATTGGTGTTATCTAATCTACTACAAATTTGAGCTCTAAAGTGATTTAGTCAATTACATAGGGTCATTTGTGGGTTGTCTGCATTTTGTTGAAGTACTAATGTCAAGATTATATTTTTAGTTATATTTATGACTTTTGAGATATATATATACTTTATGTATACAAAAAAATTACTATTTTGAACTACCATATGTACTTAATGGTTTTTTCAGAAATCAGTTGATTATCACATTTATTTTGAAATTAATCGGTTAAAAAGCAGCCTCTCAAGTTAATCTTATCATCTGTAATAATTATCTTGTGTAGTATTTACTGTTAGTAGCAAATCCGAAGTTTCATAATACATAGTAGTGCATACACAGTTAAATATTTGTGAAAATCTTAGTGTGAATTTTGCTGTGGTAAGAAATAGTTATTACATTTACTTTTTATTCAGTTGCCCTTTCGATCTATATAAAAAACTGCAAAAATATCAGCGATTGCGATCATGTTAAATTTTATTTATATTTATGGCATGTACTTCCTTACCTGTTCAGGTTGTTAAAATAGAGTAGTAGGCATTTATATCAAAATGTCATTAGTGGTGTTATATTCAATAGTCGCAACAAGTCTTCAGAGATATTTAACTGTGTTGGACTTGTTAGGCTTACGATCAGTAGCATTATTTAATTACACTTATTTTTAGGTATATTAATCGTAAGAATAGAAATTACTCTATCAGTAAAACATATTACCAAGCTGTCTTAATTCATTATTTTATGAATTCAGTGTGAAACGGGCTGATTATGATTTTAAGGGTGTCATTAAATTACTATATCCGATTTGTAAACATTTTAATATAGCGCCTACATTGCCAACTTTATAAAAGCACCCAATAGAACATCAAAATTTAGTCTTTTCAGTTAATTCAGCCGATTCCTTAGCATCGTAGGAAGTTCGTCATCATTATTTTTGACATAAATACCTACAATAACAACACTCAATAACATTTTACGAAAACAATAACAATACAATATTTCCTAAGAATCATTACTATGAATTTGCTGATGTACAGTCACTTGCGTTGTTTTGGTTTATTTACCAGCAGCTACCAAACCGACTTTAAATTTTATAATTCATTGTTTACGTTACATATGACACACTTTTTCGACTGTCCAAATTAAATAAGTTTTGGTTTCCCTTTGTTTAATGCCTCCGTATGACGTTCGTATATGCGTATTGGTGAATGCACTAAGAAAAAAAAAACTTTTGGGTGTTTCACTCCCACCAGCCAGTAATGCTGGAAGGTAGGGCGGAAGACCCTCTTCAGCCTGCTTTCAGGAATCGTGGGAATGGGTGGGTGGTGGTTCGGGTGAGAAAAATGAAACGGACGAAATGAAGACAGAAGAGACTGAAAGATTATCTGTGGAATATTACTGCCTCAGCATTTGCCTAAGTGATCCAAGGAAACCACAGAAAAACTTGGACCAAGGCAGACGGGCCCGGAATCGAACCGGCGTCCTCCCGAATGCTAAGCAATGGTCTAGACCTCTAGGCCATGCCGCTCGGTCTATAAGATGACAGCACGATTTTCCTGCTTTTCCATTTTTACGAAAACCACAGAGGCGTCTTGTTCAGCGTGCTGTCAAACCTACACTAGCAAGGAGATCGGGCTGAAACTATAGCTACAAGCTATCCAAGGATGGTACTATAGAATGTCACCTCAAGGTAGGCCTAGTGGCGTCATCTCTTGGTTAGGCCGGAAACTTATCAATCCACCCTCGTATATCAAAATGTCATTAGTGGTGTTATATTCAATAGTCGCAACAAGTCTTCAGAGATATTTAACTGTGTTGGACTTGTTAGGCTTACGATCAGTAGCATTATTTAATTACACTTATTTTTAGGTATATTAATCGTAAGAATAGAAATTACTCTATCAGTAAAACATATTACCAAGCTGTCTTAATTCATTATTTTATGAATTCAGTGTGAAACGGGCTGATTATGATTTTAAGGGTGTCATTAAATTACTATATCCGATTTGTAAACATTTTAATATAGCGCCTACATTGCCAACTTTATAAAAGCACCCAATAGAACATCAAAATTTAGTCTTTTCAGTTAATTCAGCCGATTCCTTAGCATCGTAGGAAGTTCGTCATCATTATTTTTGACATAAATACCTACAATAACAACACTCAATAACATTTTACGAAAACAATAACAATACAATATTTCCTAAGAATCATTACTATGAATTTGCTGATGTACAGTCACTTGCGTTGTTTTGGTTTATTTACCAGCAGCTACCAAACCGACTTTAAATTTTATAATTCATTGTTTACGTTACATATGACACACTTTTTCGACTGTCCAAATTAAATAAGTTTTGGTTTCCCTTTGTTTAATGCCTCCGTATGACGTTCGTATATGCGTATTGGTGAATGCACTAAGAAAAAAGAAACTTTTGGGTGTTTCACTCCCACCAGCCAGTAATGCTGGAAGGTAGGGCGGAAGACCCTCTTCAGCCTGCTTTCAGGAATCGTGGGAATGGGTGGGTGGTGGTTCGGGTGAGAAAAATGAAACGGACGAAATGAAGACAGAAGAGACTGAAAGATTATCTGTGGAATATTACTGCCTCAGCATTTGCCTAAGTGATCCAAGGAAACCACAGAAAAACTTGGACCAAGGCAGACGGGCCCGGAATCGAACCGGCGTCCTCCCGAATGCTAAGCAATGGTCTAGACCTCTAGGCNGGCAAATGGTTAGTAGCTCCCGGACAGTGTTCCAGAGTAAATGTGAATTCTTGCAATAGTAGAGCCCATCTAGTCAATTTCGCGCGTGCATCCTTCATATTTTGTAACCACGTGATGGTGCGGTTGTCGGTTCTTAAAATGAACCGCTTATCCTCCAGGTAGGGACGGTACTTCTTTATTGCCCAAACGATGGCGAGGCACTCCTGTTCGTTGCTATGGTACGCTTGCTCAGTGGGATTAAAACGGGTGCTTGCGTACGAAATAATGTGCTTGGTGCCCTCTGGACCCTCCTGGTATAAGACAGCGGCAGCACCCTGCTTGCTGGCATCGGTTTGCAGGATAAATGTTTTGTTGAAATCCGGTCGATGAAGTCGAAGTGGTTGTTGCATTAGACTTTTGATTTGTTCGAAGGCTTGTTGGCATACCAGCGTCCAATTCCACTTTTTCCTGGGGCTTAGTAGGTCAGTAAGAGGGGCCGAAATTTCTGCAAAACGTGGAAGATACTCTCGTAACCAATTGCATAAGCCTAGAAACTTTTTCAGCTCTTTGCACGTTGTTGGGACAGGTGCTTCAGAAATTTTTCCTAAATGGCTAGGGAGTGGCGAGTTTCCTTCGGCGGAGATGCAGTGACCTAAGTAGGTAATTGTTCTGGACCCAAAGACGCATTTCTCGGGAGCGCAGGCGAGGTTATGTTGCTGTAATCTTTCGAATACACGTCGGAGATGTTGAATGTGTTCTTCCCATGAACTGGAGAACACAATGATATCGTCCAAGTAAACCAGACAAAATCTTCTGAGATATCCTGTCAGCACTTCTTGTCCCATTGTCCGTTGGAAGGTAGCAGGAGCTCCCTTTAGCCCGAAAGGCATTACACAAAACTGGAACTTTCCGCCGTCTGGGGCAGTAAATGCTGTGAGCGGCCGCGATTCAGGATCCATGGGAATTTGCCAATAACCCGATTTTAAGTCAATCGTCGAAAATATGGTTGATTTCCCTATTGCCTTGAGTGTTTCGTGAATCGCCGGAAGAGGCGAAACTTCATCGTGTGTAATGTTGTTTAAGCGCCGGAAATCCACGCAGAACCTTAGATCGCCGCTCTTTTTGTTCACCATTACTACGGGAGAATTGTAGTGGGACTGGCTTGGCTCAATAATCTTGTCCGTTAGCATCTCCTCGACTTGGGCCTGGATTAGTCTCTTCTTCTCTTCGGAATACCTGTACGGTGGTAGGCAGAAATGCTCGTTTTTAGTCAGACGGATGACGTGTCGAGCGGTTTTCGTCGGAGAAGTAGGCTTTTTAAACACTTCTTGAAAATCATCGACCAATTTTTGAAACTGGGTCTGGTACTTTGGAGGGAAATTGTGTGTTACCAATTTTTCAACAGGTGCGGCCGGTGTGGTAGTTGGTGATTTTGGTCGGATCCAATAAACAGTGTGCCGTGTGTCTGTGCCAAAGTGAACACACATTCTCTCAAAGTCGCAGGTAGCGTTGCTGCCCCGTAACCACGGAACCCCTAGGATGAACCTTTCTTGTAAGCCTTCGGCGACAAAAGCTTCAACTTCCTGCTGACATCCTCCAATTTGTATGGTTATACGGACTTTACCCAAGATACGCATACTTTTCCCATTAGCGAGGTTGGCAATGCGTAATGATGAAGAAGCAACGCTACAATCCTCAGTTAATTGGGCGCTTATAAAATTATGAGACGCTCCCGTGTCTATTAGGGCTTCAATGTACATCTCCTTCAGGTTTAGCAGTACCTTGGGCAACCATGAATCAGATGCTACGTCTGCCTGGTTGTTTACGACGAGCGAACGTCCGGCCTTGGTTGAGGGGATTGGACGAAAGTTCCTTCCTCGGCCTGTCTCCAGTTTCCCGGATGAGAGCGTCGTTCGGATAATACTGGACAGTCCCGGTGAAAGTGTTTTCCCGGACAATGATGACACCTTGGCAGGGATGGCGTCACAGGTGTAGAAGATTTGGTCGACGTCGTTACTTCCTCTCGCTTCTGACTCGTTGTTGGTGTCTGCATTTGATCGCCTTCGATCTCGACAGCTCTTCGAAGAAGTTCGTCTATGGAAGTTGGTCTTGGTGCTCTCAAGAATGTCCGTATGCTTGGTCGGACTAGCTCGATGAGAAGCTGGATACAACCGTCTTCCGTTTCATCAGGTATCAGCCGTTGTATTAACTGCAATTTGTTTAGCAGGAACATTTCGGTGTTGTCTTTGACCCCCTGTTTCTGGCTGTATAACTGCGCCTTTAATGCTATTAAAGTTTCCGGTCGATTATATTTGGTTATTAATCGAACCCGGAAGTCTTTCCATAGCATGGGAAAATTTTGGTAGGGACGCCACCATGATGCCGCATTGCCTTGCAGTTGATTCACGACTAATTTGAGTCGCTCGCTGGGTTCTATTTGATACTTCTCGAAGTAGTCCTCGCAGTCCTTCAGGAAGTTTTCGGGATTCTCTGTTACCTCACCTTTGAATGAAGGTGCAGCTGGCAATGGTCTCGACACAGTGAGAACGCGTTGTAAGATGTTCTCCAGTTGCTGGGATGATAATTGGATCGGGTGAGAAGTTGTGGGCGCCACTTGGTGTTTAGACACTCCAAGAAGTGTGTCACCTTCTTCGTCTACGTGTTTGGCTTTTGACCCGGTTTTC